TGCCGGGCCCCAGTGCCGGGTAGGCCTCCAAGGGCGGGGAGGCCCCAAACCTGCCAAAGGGTCCCCTCATGGCCAGGGTGGGAACAGGCCTCACCCCCCTGCCACGCACACCCGGCGAGGGAGAGACGAGGGGATAGCGAGGGTCCGGCCAGGCGGGATGGCAAGAGCCAGGCAAACCCAGCGCCACGGCCCTCGGCGCCATTCCTCGCCTCAAAGCGGACGGCGAGGCCTTGCACTCATTTTCCCCCACCTCACCCATTTCAGCCCTGCCCCGGCCATCATCAGCCTCCAGGCGGGCCGACTGCCACGTGAGGGCTCTCCCCCGGCCATATCGCCTTTTCGAAGCGTTGGTGGAAGGTGGGGCGGTTTCGGGGCGCGTTGCCACGCATGGGGGAACACGCTCCCAGCCCTGAGGGCTCCTCCCGGGCTGCGCCGCCCGACAACGGTCGCTGCCTTCTCATGGCATCGCTCAGGGACAATTTCTATGTGCTTTTTGTTTCTTTGAATTTAAAAAAAAGGGCCTGAAAGCCTGCAAGGCGCAAACGTTTTCCTTCCCTAGTAGAAACATCTGATTTGCTAAAAACCAAAACAAAACCAAACCAAACAAACCCTGTTTTTTCTGTGAAAAACATGCTTCGTCAGAAAGTTTTGAAATGAGGTGCCTGGGGTCAAAGCTGTGTCGCTATGAGTGTGCGCTTCGCTGTGATCGCTCGGCCCTGGCGAGCGTAATGGGGCAGGTGCTCCACGCCACGAAAAACACCAACGTATGGAGCGATACGGCCACGAGCAAAAGCCTCTGCCACCGAGTAGTCCCCGAGGATCTTCCACAAAGGTGGTTTTCCTCAAGCAAGATTTCCTCTGCTGAAATTTTACCTCCTGGACAGACGGGCACAATAAATAGGATTGCAATGCAACGGGCAGCAGGGAGGTTCAGCCCGGTCCTCCGACGCTTTTGTGGGAGTCAAGCGTGCGGGGCTGCCAAACTGGCACCTTGGGCAAGCACGAAATCCCTGTGATAACGTATAAATAAGAGATGAGGGGACAAAGACCGGTGCCGTTGTCGGCAGCCCATCTTGCTTTCCCTGCAACTTAGTCTGAAATACGGATGGTTGACCACAGGAGGTGTTTCTCACTGCTCCTGGTTAGGTCCGGGCTGCCAGAGGGCTGGAGAGCTGGCTCTCACAATTACTATGGAAAGCCCGGCAGAGCCAAGACAGAAAAAAGAACTGGGTTAACTGAGACACTGTAATAAGAAATTTGCACTTGAAAAGGCCCCTCCGCTCTCCCCTCCACCCCTCAGATCAAAGCGGCTCTCCCACCATGCGATTAGCAAAGCTCTGATTGTAACAAGAGGGGTTAACAGCTCCATCGGCCCCACACAAGACTTTTAATAGCCCTGCCTCGAAATGACAGCTAAAGCCTTCACATGATCCCTCACATGAGTGCCCTCTGGCCATTGCAGCTCACCGGGCTTCCTAGACAATTTGATTACAAAGTGGATGGGCTTTCAGTTGCTTACTGTAAGCACAATAGCGTCCACAGCATCCTTTAGGGACCTGAGCATCTGAGGAGGGGTTATAAGCAGGGATTAGAGCTACCTCTTCCTTTTATTCAACCTGCATAGGCCGAGGCAGTCTCCCGGGGTTTTATTTCAACTCTGGGAAAAGAGCAGAGCTTGGTTGATTTAAATCAGGTTGTGAGGGGTAAGGCTAGAGCTCCTGACCCCCTGGGGCTTCTAACTCCGGGATCTACCACCAAGAGAGTACACCTGCCGACTGAAAGTTAGGGCTCCTGAGCTCTCCTTCCAAAGTTGAAGAAGGGATGAAGTCCATCTCTGCAAAGGAGAGATACAGAAATCAGGAGACCTATGTTTTAAAGCACTCACTAGGTGCAATATTCTCCACGCCTCCGTATCTCATTTTCAAAGCAAAAGTATCAATATTTAGCCAATCAATATGTTTGTTATGGACAAAGCTTGTAAACTGCTTTAAGATTCTTCTATGAAGGCAGATGTGGGAAGAAAAACATTGTTGTTTTTCAAAGGAGTTTGCCACACAGTCATTACGAAAGAAATACAAATACCAATTCAGCCTGCTGCTGTTGTCAGAGCATTTTGAGCTCAGATAGCAGCATCTCTCCTTCAGGATCCTCAAGGCAGCGTCTGCAGGCTGGTAACACCCCTTTTACAGCTGGAGAAAGCCAGGCACAGAGAGGTGCCGTGGAAGAGCCATACCCTCCAGCCTCGCTGGACCACAGAGCCCAAACTCAGAGTGTTTTAGTAGCAGAGCCATGCACAGATCTCGTAAGACCTGACTCATTTCCCTTACTGTGATCATGCTGTTGCCTACATCAAAGAACTAGATTCTTTTCAAGTATTTACCCATCTGCGTGTCTGTTGCTATGACTGCTGGTGTTTAACTGAAAAGGTGAGGGATTTAGATAGGAAATCATCCCCAGCTCTGCTTAGGAAGGAAGATTATCACTGTTCAGTTATTATCGTAGCAGAGCTGAATGCCACGGGACTGAATGGCATGACTGAAGCCCACCATGCATTGTCTAACAGATTTCACCAAGGGCAAGTTAAATAAGGAGCCACCTGCGGGGATATTGTTTTCTTGATACCTTGGAGGCAGTTTGAAGTGTATAGTCGGCAAGTGAAAAGTTACTGTCCTTGCAACGAGCGCAGGTGAGGAGGAACCTGTGTCTACACGCATTACTACGGCTTACACTGAGGCGCAGCTAACACTGCAGAGCTTCTCTCTGCCTGCACGGCTGGGAGAGCCAGGGGAAGGAGGCCCATGAAATCCAAATTCCTTTCTTTGCTATGAAACTATCTGCAGGATGTAAAACCACTCAAAAGACACATTTGATCTTCTTTACTGCAGCGCACATAAAAGCAGCATCTTACAACGGGAAAAGCGCTCAGGTCTGAAAGTCTGGTCTTGTTTACACTCCCACTTCCAATGAGGAACGAGTTAATGCAATGTAGAAAGCATGGTACAGATACCTAATTCCCCCATTCGCTCATCTTTGCCAAGTTCCTCGCCCATCTGTGAAACAGATTAAACTTTTGTACTGCAGCAAGCAGAGAGCCCAGCTCAGATGGAGCACGCTATTTGCTCAGGCCTGCACCGATCCGCAGACTCAGAGGTCACCTACCTCAGCTTCCCTAGGTGTGTCCTTTAGAAAAGGCTCAGCTAAACCAGTTCAGAAGGCAGTGCAGGCAGTAATAAATATCGTTTGTGCCGAGTGAGGCCTTCTGTACTTAAGGAAAGCCAAAGTTTAACGTGAATCCCTCTTTAAGGAAGCAGAGGGAGGAAGCTACCTTGGATTTACCGTCTGGCAAAAGCAGCATCCATGGCACAACTAACACGTTCAAGATCTACACCCCGGCGCCTCAGCAGTTGGTTGGTGCAGCCGCATCTGATAAGGGCTCACATGGGAAGTTCTTGCAGAGTAGCTGGCGTGCTATAAACTCACAGCCTAGTTTACTGCACAAATAACTGTGCCACATAGACGGACCTAAGAGGCAGTCCTGGCCTGATTGCTTCCACTTTCCTGCCTCACCGGGAAATGCCAGAATTAATTAAGAACATTTGTAAAGCGTTCTATACTGCTAAATTGCTACTTAGGCAGAAACTAAACCCTGATCCAGCTTCCTGTCATTTTCCCTGCCGTTCTACAAGCTCAGAAGACTTTACGCAAGAGACTGGTGCTGCGAGATATCAATGCCAATCCATCCTGTCAGTCGGTATGATAACTCTGACGGCATAGCAGCATCTCAGGTGATGCCAACTTCCCTCCGCTCCAAAACTTCCTGAGGAGCTGGATAGGAAAAACAGCAGGGAAAGCACCTTTTTGAAGACACCATTATTTTGTTTGGAAGATTGAGGTCTCTAGACTCAAAAAATTCTGTCACTGAAAACTTGCTTAAAAGCACCTCTGGCAGCATCTTCGTCGAAATGGCTAAAAACGTCGTATAGAATTGTTTGTTACAGTTATTCCTACTGTATAAACCAGATACAGCAGGTTACAGGCAGAGCTGGGACTACAATCACAATTGTGCTGAAATGCCAGGCTCTGGCACTTTTGCCAGGGGCCCACACTGCTTCCAGCAGAGACACGAAGGGCATCGAATGAACCTCTTTAAGTACAAGTGCGCTTCGTACTCACCACCCTGGCGGCTCTCTCTTGAGATTCACATTTCCGACAGAACCAGGGTCCGGTAGGAACCTGGACAATTCCATAGCAAGCTGGAAGAAAAGCAAAGAGAGCTCATTAAGACCATCTTTAAATCAACTGTTTGGTTTCTCAGGTGTATATAGAAGTCGACCAGAGCTGTTATCAGCCCGAGATGGGTGACAAAACCAAAAATTACCCCCGTGCCACACTTCAGTCCCCTTTCTAGTTTCCACACCCAGCCACAGCAGACTCTTGCAAGAGGCCCAGTATTACACGTTTATTCAAGTTTTCAAATAAGCTCATGCCCAGTATGAAAAATTCCTACGAAAGTCTGGCCTAAGCGGGAATCGAGTGCTTCACAAAAACTGTGTCTAATTCTGGTCTGGCGAGCACAAACGGAGCAATTTCCTACCCCGCAACTTTTCAAGTGTCACTCGTGATCTAAATGTCAACTTATGAAATGGATGGCTACGAAGCACCTTAACCATAATTACGACTAAGATAAAAATCTCAGCATCACAAAGCAAATAATCTCAGTGAGAGCTCAGACAGACACCAAGCGAAACTCCCACTTATCCTGCACACCCTCAAGTCTGCAAGTCGCATCCAGCGGCAGCCTTTCGCAGGCTGCTTCCGAGATCGCTGAATTTGGGCTTTTTAGGACTACTCCTGGGAACAGGTTCTGTATTAATACAAATCTCCAGCTGATAATCCCACAAAACTGCTGGGTTTAGCCAGCTATACCACGCGTCCCTCTTGCTTTCTACATCGCTGCTGACGCTCTCAGGGCCTCCCTCTGCAAGCTGCAGCTCCCACTTCTGCACCATCAGCTCCCTTCTCTGATGGGGCAAGGTTGCTTGAAGGTTCTTCACCTTCTTCGGCTATCTTCTTCCTCTAACCATCCAAGGATGGTCTTTGTGAGTCCCAAAGGAAGCGTTTCTGACCCTGAAAGGGCTCTTAACCCCCGTGCAGGTCGGTTTAAAGCAGCAGAGGGTGGTAGCGATAGTGGTAAGAAGTAAGGCTACGCATCTCAGACGAGGGTATGGGAGTCTCCTAGGACAGAGCAAATTATATCTTCCTTATTCCATCTTCAAATGCGAACTGGCGGTTGGAATGGAATCCCAGTCACTCGAGACATTTGAAACTAGGTTGGACAAAGCATCTGAAAATATCCTGCTGGAAGCAATCCTGCGATGTTCCCTGGGGGACGGACCAGACACGACCCGCAATAGGTTCTCCCCATCTCTCTAATGTCTATTATTCCACATTAGCCAGGAAAACAAACGCAATTGTAGAGTTAAACTGAAAGAGCTGCCTGCAGGATGAGCCAAGGCATACACATAAGAAAATAGAAACTACATGAAAGCAATGACAGAGCCTGCCTTGGGTCCATCTTTAGCAGTGGGCTTGGGGCCAAAAGCAAGCACTCAGCTGGAGCCTGTGCGAGCTTCTGTGCCTACTGCTTCAAAAAGGAAGAAAACAAGGAAGAAAACAAGGAAGAATGCAGAACATAAGTAAGGCAGAGTTGAAAATACCATTCGTAAATGTTGTTAACTGTCTTCTTGGAGTCTTCATTTCCAAACAGATGTTTTTGTTCACATTTTGGAGGTTTTACTGGAAAGGTAAGATTTCTAAGCGTCGTCACAGAAATGGTACTGGTATTTTTAAGAATCAGCCCTAATGTGTAGCTATAATACAAGTTTTTTTTTAAAAAAATACAGGGTTCTTTATTTAACTGCACAATCATTTTAAAAGCTAACTTTGGTTTTGTGGAGATTCAAGCAGTACAAAGAGATACCAAACCCCGCGTGTGATTGCACGGAACGAGACTAGATGACCCAGATGACCCCTTACAGTGGTTTGCTTCTATTTACGAAATAAAAGCCTACCAAAACACCACACTACTGCTATAGGTTCATGAGCAGGCTTTAAAAAGGCGGTTGAAGAACACCTACTACACACTGCTACACTCCTTATGAATTATTGTATCCTGAAGGACTCTTACAAGACCTAAACCAGCAGTTGTGTTTTCCAAACACACAAGCGGCGCTGCCCTCTCCGAGAGTTTTCTAACACGTTCCGAAACAACGCTAACGCGCCCGTTGTCCCCGCTGCTGCAGCAACCAACCACGTCCACTCTCCGTACCTGTGCGGGCCTAGAAACAGGCACCCTGACAGAATAAAAGCATTGCACGTTTGAAACTGTCCCTGCGTATTTGAAACTGTTCTTGCACCTTTGAAACTGTTCCTGCCAGCAAATTAAAGTGTTTATATTCATCTTGGGGGTGGGCATGAGGACGTCAATGCCCTTTATCTTCCTCCAAAAAAAAGGGAATGATGAAGAAACCTGTTCTCTAGCACATGGTTTGATAAATAATAGGAAGAATGGAAGACTTACACTGGCAAAGCTAAAACAGAAAGAAGTGTCCTTCCAGGGAGACCCTCGTCCTGCCGGGTCTCTCAGAGCCACCCTGGCGAGGCTGCCTGGGGACAGGAGACACCCAAGCATCGCCTCCGAATGAAAAGAAACCCCCTGCGAGCTTCGCTTCTTCGTTTGAACTCCCCTTTAGTCACCTACTCGTAAGCCACTTCTTACTAAAGCCGTGAGCACGGACACACCAAACGCACGGAAAAGCAGAAGCAAGCCCAACCTACAGACCCAGAGACCTGCTCCTGACAGGCGGGCAGAGGCAGAGCGGGACCCATTCGCGGCTGGAGACAGGAGCGTGCATCAAGACACCGAGGGAGAGATTACACAGGAAGAGGCTGGAGATGTGCTGGGAGATGGATAGGATAATAATAGATGGAAAAACAGACATGCCAGATGAGACCAGAAACCTTCCTGTTACTCCAAACAAGCCAACCAGGACAATCACTGTGCCTTTCTGCTGGATTTCAACGAAAGCGAATACACACGTTATTTTTTTTTTTTTTTT